GACCCCGCCCCCACCTTCCCCAGGGCCTCGGCCCCAAGCTTACCCGGGGGCCCAGCTTTGGGAGCTGCTGGCCTGAAGGGGGATGGGCGGCTCTGGGCGGGCAGGGCCTCCCCAAGCCCATTGGAGTCACAGCCTGGTGGGGGCAGGGCCCCATATGCCATGTCTGGGCTGGGCATGGTGGGGGCTGCGGGCTGAGGGCAGAGAGGACACGAGTGGTTAGGGGGCCAAGGAGGTGAGGACACCAAGTCCGAGAGAATATCCCAGCCTCCACCGTTCGGAAGCCCTCACTATCCTCCCCGCCCCCGCCCTAACCTCCCAGGGGCCCGGCTCTGCTGCTCCTGGACAGCTGGGCCCAGAGCTGAGGCTTCTCACTCAGCATGAGCTTGGCACTGAGGGGCCTTCCCAGGTATTTGATGAATAAAAAAAGCAAAATAGAAGGAAAGAAAAGAAGGCATTATCTGCCTTTTGAACTCTTATTCATCTTTCAAAGCCCCAGCTACAATGCCCACTCCTCCAGGAAGCTTTTCCTGTCCAACCAGGCAGAGACCTACCACCATACTCTAGGCTTCTTAGCCCTTTTCCAGTCTCGGCCTTGACCGTGGGCCTGGGGGGGGGGGCACATTCACGGCAGGGCGGGGAGTCACTTACATAGAGCCGTGGTCGGGGCAAGGCTGGCTCACCCCCATCACCTGCAAGCCTCCGCAGCTTCTCTCCCGGGCCCTCAGGCCCCTCATCTGGCTCCAGCTCTGGCCCATCAAGGCCCACACCCCTCCGCTTCAGTGTCTGTGGGGAGGGGACACAGTAGGATGAATCTCCCCCATCCTAGCCAGGGAGCCTGGTTGTATGGTGAGGGGAGAGACCTACCCAGCTCTGTGGGTGGGGCAGAGTGCGGGCACAGCTGCTCCAGCTAAACCCCATTGACCAAAACCCCCAGTGAGTTATCGTTTGCTAAGTTCCCACTGTGTGCGAGAGGCACTGTCTTGCCCTGAAACCACAGGTCCACCCCGGCCGGCTGGCACTGTCCTAGCACCCCTGAATGCAACTCTGGTTTCTCCATTCTGCATCCATGTGCTGCTTTAGAGCCTGGCATGCAGTAGGTGCAGAATAAATGTCAAGAAACTGAGCACCTGAAGACAACTTTATAGGACGTTCTGAGCTACCCCGGACCAGTGACCTGCATGGTCCTGGACCTCAGTGAGGTCAGCTTGCTCCACGGTGCCTTTTACTTTCTGTTCTGTACTCACCACATGGGTGATAGGATTAAATGAGACACTGTGTGTAAGGGGCACATAGTACAGCCTTCAATCTATAGTGGTTGATTATTTATTTATTTGTTTGTTTGTTTGTTTTTTAAAATATATTTTTATTGATTTCAGAGAGGAAGGGACAGGGAGAGAGAGAGAAACATCAATGATGAGAGAGAATCACTGATCGGCTGCCTCCTGTACACCCCTGACTGGGAATTGAGCCTGCAATCAGGGCATGAGCCCCTGACTGGAATCAAACCTGGGACCCTTCAGTCCAAAGGCTGACACTCGATCCACTGAGCCAAACTGGCCAGCGCAGTGGTTGACTTTTTTTTAAAGGTATTTTATTGATTTTTTTTCGAGAGAGAGGAAGTGAGACGGGGGAGAGAGAGAAACATTGATGTGAAAGCGAACATCGATTGGCTGCCTCCTGCATGCCCTCTACTGGGGATCAAGCCCACAACCCTGGGCATGTGCTCTGACAGGGAATCGAACCCACAACCTTTAAGTGTATGGGACCACGATCCAACCAACTGAGCCAGGGCTGGTTGATGTTTTTATTTCTGCTAGCCAGGTAACTAGCCCAGAGGGACACTCTAATACCCGAAACCTGCGTTAACTGGCAGCAAAGCTAGACTGCAACGCCCATCTTTTGTACAAACCAAGAGTCCCTGGGCTCTGAGCCAGCAGAGTGTGCTGGCTTCCCGGGGAGGAGGGCCCAGGGTACCTCAAGGATGTCGGTGTTGGTGCGGCTCTCGTGGGGTTCGCTGTACTCCGTGTACTTGAGGAGCACACGGTCCATGTCCGTGCTGGCATACTGGAAGAGGCGGTTGGCGCTGTTGAAGATGATGAGAGCAATCTCACAGTCGCAGAGCACGCTCAGTTCGTAGGCCTTCTTCATCAGCCCAAACTTCCTTTTGGTAAATGTCACCTGGACCCAGCACCCACAGGTGAGAGGGAGAAGACAGAGATTTGGGGTGGGGCTGGGGAGATGGAGGGGCCTAACTGTTTTCTGAACATGCCTCATGATTCCGTGCCTCTATATGTGCTGTTCCTTCTAGCTGTTCTCACTTCTCAACTTGGCAAACTTCTATTGATGCTTCAAAACCCATCCTAAATGACCCCTCCTTTGGGAAGTTGTTCTTGGTCTCCTAGGCAGAGCCCACACTCCCTCTTTGAGCTTCCCCAGTTCTGTGTCTCCCTCTGATCCAGGCTTCTGAGCCAGGTGTGTTTGTGTCCAGGTCCATCTCCTCTGTGACCAGGACTTCAATAAATCATTATGAAAATGAGCAAATGCTACATCTCAAACTCCAGACTTGTCATCAAGACTCATTCCCCTACAATTCCCCCAAATCGCTAGGCCTTTGCCCAGACTGTGTCCCCTGCCATGAATGCCTTCCCACCCAATGAACTCACTTGACGATTCCTTTGGTCCAGAATGCGTGAGATCTGTATTTTTTTCCTCCCCATTGTCCTAGGCTGGGCAGAGCAACCTTGGTCTGTGGGAGAAGGAAAAGAGGACAGAGTGAGTGGGTGGAAAGTGGGGTCAGGCAACCAGCTTTCCTTCTGTCTTCCACTTCCCCCTGCCAGGCACTGAGGAGAGGTGATGGGGGAATCGAGGCAGGCTGGGCCACCCTCATGGCCCCCATTCTCAACCAGACCAGGATACACCAATTCCACATGAGGCGAAGGCTGACCCAGGCCAAAAGATGGCAGTGCAGATGCTCCTGCCCCAGCATCTAAAACATTACCCCCTGGTAACTATGGGCCTCAGGGAGCTTGCCCGCCTTGGGCACCGTCTGCAGTAGGGGGGCAGTGTTGTGTACTGCTCATTGTTGCTGGGGACAAAAGGAGCTAACCTTCCTGCCTGTCACATAGTGGATGCTGCATACGTATTGCCATTATGAATATTGGCAACAGCCTAAGAGCCCTCAACAGGCCAGGTTGGAGGGACATCCGCTGCAGCGCTCGGTGATCCTGAGCCTCTGAAAGCGAGCCTGACCCGCCCATCGGACACCTTTCAACTCATTCAACACACAACAGCTCCTCAAACTAAGATCGAGGCCCGCGGTTACAAAAACAAAACAAGTCCGGCTGGTGTAGCTCAGTGGTTGGATGCTAACCTATGAACCGGGAGGTCAGGGCACATGCCTGGGTTGTGGGGCTCAGGGTGGTGTGTGGGGCAGGGGGCCTGCAGGAGGCAGCTGATCAATGATTCTCTCTCATCATTGATGCTTCTGTCTCTCTCTCCCTCTCCCTTCCTCTCTGAAATTAATAAAAATATATTTTAAAAAATAAAGTGCACAATTTAGTGATAGTTAGTTATTCACAATGTAGAACCATCGCTTCTATCTAGTTCCAGAAATTTTCACCCCCCCCAAAAGGGACCCCATTCCCATGAGGAGTCACTCCCCATCCCCTCCCCTGACCCCTGGCAGCCACTGACCTGCTTTCTGTCTCCATGGCTTTGCCTGTTCTGGACATTTTATGTAAATGGATCATACACTGTGCGGCCTTTCGTGTCTTCTCCCCCTGCCCCTTTTTTGATGATCTGAACTTTCAAACTTTCCCCTCAGTGATTATGGACTATTTCTGTTTTAAAATTTTTTTAATTAAAAAATAATTTTAAAAAACTTTAAATAACAGAAACCCACCCCTGCCCCCCTTTCTACCAGGAGGAGGTGAGGACGCCCTGGAAAGACCTTAGGCTCGGAGCCCTCAGACCCCGATTTGGGCCCAGGGCAACTTGGGTGACACCCTGGACCCTCCTCCCAGGGATCTCAGATCTCCCCAGTGTGAGCCCCCAAAGTGAGAGTGGGTAACTCAGGGAGGACTGCATGTCCCCAAGACAAGCAGCATGTTGGGGTCCAGGCCTTCCCCAGTGCCCCCATGCAGGGATCCTTGGTACGAAGAAACCTGTTGTGAGGCACCCACCATGCTGTACAGTCAGCCACCCCAAGGCCCCGAGATCCCTGACACCCCTCCACTCCTCTGTGACCACACTTGACCCCCAGCCACCCCCATGTCACAGGTGCCTGAGGCAATGTCACAGGCTGCCCAGGGTAAGGGGGCCAGTGCTCAGATCCCAGCCAAGGGGGCCTCCCCCTGGGCTCAGATTGCTGTTCTGTGACTGGGGTGGGTATGGCATGCAGAGCACCTGGCACAGACCTGGAAACAAGCCCTGGGGAAGCGTGGGGAAATGAGGTCTGTCTCCACGAGCAGCCATAGCTGCTTCTCTGACCTCCGCCTGAGGGGTCTGGGGGGGACCCCCTTCATCCCAGAGGCCCAGGGCCCAGGAGTGTCAGATGCCTTGGCCATCGTAAGTGGCCCTCTGTGTGGCCCCCGGAGTGTCCTCTACCCTCTCTGGGCTGGGTCTCTGAGCAGTCGCAACTATGCAGAGCCCAGCCGATGAGAGCCCCACCAACCCCCTAGCTCCGGATTGATTTGCTAAATTTAACCTCGGGGGCTAATTTTAATCCCTGGCTAGAATCAGACTCGTTCCCACGGCTGGGATGTGTTGCCCTGGCCCCGATGGATCCCCGGGGACAGAAGTGGGGCACTGGTCCGGAGGTCCCCGTGCCAAGATGACTCCGGAAATGCCCCCCACGCCTGGGGTCCCATGGGAACATGGGACTTGAACCTGAGAATCTGAGCCTGGAATATCTGACTCCAGCCCCTTCTCAGTCTGTCCCCATTTTAGACAAGGACATCCCTCCTAGGGCAGGGGTCACATAATGGGGGAGCCGCAAGCAAGAGCCAAAAGGTCGGGAGGGTCTCTCGGAACTGAGACCCAAGAGCCGAGACAGGAAGTGAGCTCCAGCCAGAAGGGACAGCAGGTGCAAAGGCCCTGAGGAGGGAAAGACACAGCAGCGAGGCTGGACGGAGGAGCTTGAGGGAGAGGCCTGAGAAGCAGGGCCACACTGTGTCCTCTGAGCTGTGGGGAAGGCTGTGAGTTTGGGTCTAAGAGCCACGGAGAGCCATGGGAGGGTTTGAGAAAGAAGGATGGAGTTTGAGTTATCATTGAAAAGCCTTGCCATGCTCGGGGGTGGCCGGATACTGGAGAAAAGGCCAGAGCCGCACCCATCTGGGCAGAGACGGGGTGAAGTCACGGTATCCCAGGTCTCTTTGGGTCCATCAGAAGGTCCCAGATCCCCTGCCTTCCCCGGGGCCCAGCCCAACAGGCACAGATGGACTCACACTCTTCTAACCTTCAGTGACCCTGGAACTCCCAATCCCCACACAGGAACTACAGTCATCCCCAGCTTTGGCCCTCGAGGGACCAACCCAACACAAGGCTTTGGTCATGACCCTCCCTGCTCACACACTCTTCATGGCTCCCTACTACCATCAGGAGAAAATTTCAGTTCCCAGCCTGGCATTCAAGGCCCCGCCCCAGCCAATCCCTGCCCACCGTTCTCTACCTTCAACAACTCTTATTTACACTTCAAAACCCAGCTCAAAAAATCCATCCTCCCCCTGGCCTGTGTGGTTCAGCTGGTTGAGCATAATCCCATGAACCAAAGGTGGCTGGTTCAATTCCTGGTTGGGGTTTCAGGCTTGATCCCTAGTAGGGGGCATGCAGGAAGCAGCGGATTGATGTTTCTCTCTCCCTGTCCCTTTCTCTCTCTCAAATCATATTTTAAACATAGTGTATGTGTGTTTTAAATCCATCCCTCAGGAAGCCCCCCTGATCTCAGTCTAGATCGCTACAGCGGCCATCCTTCCCTTCAGCTCTGACCCCATGGGGCTGGGGATGTGTACATCGTGGAGCTGGGATCCAGGCTGGCAGCCCGGGATCAGGTATAGGGGCTGTTGGGCAGATCGGGTGAATGGAGCAGGTTAAAAGAGACACGTCTGAACTACCCCCAGTTTCCCTCAACAACTTCCTCTCAGACTCCCCCAGCTGACTCCCTACCCAGAAATACACGCGCATGCAAATCCAGCCACTGAGTGGACCTGTCTCAGGCCCAGGTGTGAAGGGCCAGCCAAGGAATGTGGGGGTGGAAGACCCAGGGTGTGCATATATATTTGTACTCACATGCAAATCCCCACCCCGAGCCGCAGACAGACCAGCAACCAGCGCTCCAGATGTTGGCGTGATCGGAACTGCTGGGGGGAGGTGGTGGTGGCTGCTGAATGTGCCAGGCACGAGGGGGGAGGCTGAGGTTTGGGGAAGCCTCTTCTGTGCATCCCCACACCGAGGTCCAGCCAGAAAGCAGAGAGTTTGTGGCATCTGCCCAGCAGAGAGGCAGAGAGGTAGACCCATGAACAGGAGATGGAGCAAGGAAGGACGGCCAGGAGAAATCCAAGGGGGCATCTCAGAGGAGGAAGCATGTCATTGGGCCTCAATGGAGAGACTGGATAGGGCCTGAGCAGATGGGCAGTGGGGTGGTCATTTGAAACCGAGACACCACTCCCCCACCCCTTTCTTCACCCCCTTATACTTAACATTTATTAAGATCAACCGTGCTCCGGCCACTGTGATAAGCAGACCTCAGAAGTAGAAAGCGTAAGTAGAGCAATGGCCACGGAAGACTGGCAAAGTGACTGCGACCTACCATAAGAAGACCATGGGCCCAGAGGGCTGTATGGCTGTTTCGTCAAACCGTAAAGGACAGGAAAGTGCAATGTTATCTAAACTAACTCAGACCTTTGAAAACAGTGGGAACCGCCCAGGTCATTTCTCTGAAACTTTTGTTTGTCTGAAGTCCAAAAAGAGTGAAGGACCGACTATGCAAGGGGCAGCGTTAGCCAGGGATTTCGAGAAGGGCCTACCTGAAGAGGTGACATTTGGGCCATGACCTGCCACATGAGAAAGGACAGTAAGGGAGGGAAGTCAGTGGTGGGAGATCTGGGGAAGGTGGTCCTAGCAGTGGAACTGCAAGGGCCAAAGGTCATAGTGATCATGAGTTTGGCATTTGGGAGAAAAAACCACAACAAAAGGCAAAGAAGTCTGCATGGCTAGACAGCATGGCAAGAGGCGAGGTGAGGAGCATGGCGGTGGGGAGGGCGGTGGAGGTTGGGTCATTTAGGTATTTGTGGCTTTACTCTGGGGGCAATGGGAAGCCAGGGAGACTTTGGGGGCAGGGGAGGGTCAGGATACGATCTTACAGTTTAAAAAAATCCCCTTTACGCTCATGTGTTGGTGGTGAGAGGGGAAAGAGGTACAGCCACTGTGGAAAACTGGCATTTACTAAATATGAACAAATGTCTAACCTGTGACACAGTGACCTCTCATCTCTGTATTCACCCAGTAGAAATGGGCCTACGTTTTACCAAAGGACACAGACAAGACCGTCCTCAGCAGCTTCATTCATCAATGCCCCGAACTGGAATCGGCCCAAACACCCTCCGAGGGAGAGCTGGTAAATGCTTTCTGGTAGATTCTACCACGGATGGCTACATTGCACAGGAAAGGGATGCACTCCAGCCCATGCATCTGCACGGGGAACCTCCTAGACCTGTGCCAATTCAACAGTGCGGACGCCACAGAGGAGAC